AGAGCCCTTATTATGTCCCCTACTATCGCCTGTTCTACTATAGTTATATATAGCCCTTGTTATGACCCCCCAGGGTGGGGGCAGTACTATAGGGGCGTAAATGATCACTTATGCTATTTCGGGGGCTCCTTATTATAATGATAGTGTAATATACCCCCAGACCCTGTTCTAATTATTAAGGCCCCTATATCATAGAACCCTACTATAGATCCCTTACAGACCCCTTTCAGGAACCCTTTGAAGGGATTCTGCACTACTCTTTTTATTAAGGCACCTATATTACCCAACCTGACTACTTGAAGGCTCATGGGACTTAGTAATTAAGGTTATAAGTAGGTTAAAAATCAGGATAACCCCACTTAGGGGACTAATAACCCCAATTATAACCTACTTACTAAGTCCCATGATCCTCTAAGTTCCCTAAACTCCCCCTTATAGAACCCTTAGCAGGATCCCTTAAAGGAACCCTTCAAAGGAATCCTGGGTTTCTTACTAAGTCCCATGATCCTCTAAGTAGATCTGCAGCTTCCAGGTTCGAGCGTAAGCTGTAGCTAAATGGGACTTTCCGAAAGTTAGGGGTACCTTATCTTAAGGTTTAGGGTTTAGGGTTTAGGGTTTAGGGTTTAGGGTTTAGGGTTTAGGGTTTAGGGTTTAGGGTTTAGGGTTTAGGGGGGGGTCCTTCTAATAAGGATCCTACTATTTGGGGTACTATATTAGGCCCCCATATCTTCGGAAACTCCCAAATGGGACTTTCCGAAAGTTAGGGGTACCTTATATTGGGGGGTCCTTCAAATAAGGGTCCTATAAATTCATATGCAGGGTACTATTTTGGGGTCCCCTATGTTCGGAAACTCCCAAGTCTACTGAATTTAGAGGATCATGGGACTTCGTAAGTAGGTTATAATTGGGGTTATAAGTCCCCTAAGTGGGGTTATCCTAATTATATCCTGCTTATAGCCTTGCTTACTGAGTCCCATGAGCCTTTAAGAATTGAGGAGTATACCCTAAAATATAGTAGAATCTCTAATATGGTTTAAGGAATATTCCTTAATTGAGGGATTTTGGAAGGTCTGGGTAAAACCTCGAACTTCAATCTTGAGATCCTGCTGTTTGTGCGATTTTCTGGCCCCAAAACTTTTGAAACCTGAGCCCTTCAAGTTGAAAGTCAGGTGCACTGCCTGCGGTGGGCCTACAAGGGCCGCGCGGTGGCGGACCGGCTGGAGAGAGCCTTGGCTCGAAGAGAGAAAAGCCGGTTGCGGTTTATGGCCTTAGGGCCTAGGGAAGAGACAGTACTTCTTTGTCGTGCCAAGGTTCCTGGAAACGTATGCTACACTATGTGGTATCGCCGTTTTCTAAATTAATATAGCTTAAAATAAATGGATAAAGCCCACCATTTTGCGGTTGCAGCTGGATCGGTGCTTTGCTGACCCAAACCCGAAGCCCGAAACACAAAGAAGGGGAGTTTGAGGATTGGGGGTTTAAGCCTTAGGGACTTTAAGGTCTTAGGGACTTTAAGGTCTAGAGCTTGATCCTGAAAGCTCTATGGGCTAGCCCACGGTGCTAGGCCTGCAGGCCTACCCAGAGAGCCCAGTACTCTTTAATTAAGAGATGTAGGGTTTGGGGTTTAGGGTTTTAGGCTGTAGGGCTTAAGGCTTGGAGAGCCCAAAACCCCTTACTTAATTCAGGAACATAGTGTAAGCTGTATTCCTTTTAGTCAGGGTTTTGGGCTCGCTGGGTACCCTTGACAAAAGCCGTAAAGAATGACAGATGCAACCTTGAGAAGATTGGACAGCCAGCCCCCGAATCCTGGTCTCAGGGGAGTACACAAAGCAAGGTTTTAGAACCAAGAACATGTTTGAGCAGGCCGCCGCCCCCCCCACCCCACATTTGAAGCATTGCAGCCCCAGCGCATGGGTAGTAAGCCAGGGCTCCTCTCTAGATCCCTCGAGGATAGCTCCCCAATCCCTAGACCCTAAACCCTAAATCTATATAAACGGCACGCTACACAGGCAGGGCAGTGCCCTGATTTGGAGAGCAGCCCCGACTTATCACTTTAGTTACTGATTTCCTTACAACTGGCCCTACTTTAGAGAACCCAACCCTCTTCCCCATTTTGAGACTTGCCAGGAGGGGAAGCCGCCCCTTCCTTCGCGGCGGAGCCGCGGGAAGTGCCCCTCGCCGCTTCCACTGTCCTTCTTTGTTCTTGTTTTGGGAATTAAGGGGTTTTTGGTTTGGCGTCCTTGACCCAAAGCCCAAACCGAAAACAACGAACTCCAAGCCTTAAGCCCTAAACCCTTGGCACCCGGAGAGAGTGATCGCAATGACTAGATGAAGAGCAGCAAGAAAAAGCTGCCGCGTCGCAGCTGTCTTGTTCTTAGTAGAGACTGGTGGAATGGGTTATGGGGACTATTGTTGGGGAGTACTATAAGGGACCCTTAAGGGACTAGAGGGAGCCATTCCCCCATTCCCTACTAAGAACCAGACAGACAGGCGAGAACAACCTGGCGAAGATGAGACACCTGCCGAAGGTTTTGGGACTTGTTCCAGCTGCAGCTTGGCTTGAGGGTTAGGGTTTAGGGTTAGGGCAGTCTTCAAAGCATGTCTCGTGCCTAGTAGGGAATCGGGGAATGGATCCCTATAGTAGTCCCCATATAATCCTTAATAATAGTCACCATAATCCATTCCCGCAGTTCCTTCTAAGAACCAGACAGTTTAGGGAGTGATGGGGCTTCACCCAGAGACTCCAAAACCCCTTAACGAAGAAGGAATTGAAGTCAGGTACTAGGTTCCTGAGTAGTACCCTCTTGCAATTTTTGGATTAGGGTCCCCTGATTAAAGGAGACCTAAAGGGCTTTTCTCAGAAACCTAGAGTTTTGCGCATAGGGGGATCCTGGCTGGTCTGTTATGTCCCAGACCTCTGGGAGGTTCCCCAAAGTAGATGCTTTCATAGGGGGGCCCCAAAACAGTACGCTTTAGTAGTAGAGGGTACCAAATTAGGCGATCTACTTTTTTAGATCCTCCCCCAAAGTCTGGGTTAATGCATATTGAACCAGCCGGGCAATTTCAGGGCCCCGTTTTAGATCCCAAATATGGTGCAGCACCCTTATAGAAAAGGAACCTAAAGGGCACCAACAAAAAGAAGAAGTAAGAGCCTCGATAATTATAGTTTTTTTTTTTTGTTGGGGGGGGGGGGGGGCTCCTCCTAAGGATTCCTCTAGCAGAGTTCCATTTAAGGGATCTGTAAGGGTTCTATGCTATAGGGGCCTCCATAGTTAGAATAGGTGTTTTTTTGGGATCCTTGCTATACTTCCCAAACCCCATTCTAACTATTGAGGCCCCTACATTACAAGAAGTTACGGGAATGAAATCAGACCTGTAGTAATCTAACATGCTGCAGCACAATCTCCATAGCTAAGGTCTTTTCATAATGTGGAAGGGCATTTCTTCCGAAGATTGCGCGTGGAACATGTAGACTTATGGTTTAGGGCTTAATCCTAAGCCCTAAACTCTGAGATTCTTTCGGGAACCGGCGAGATGATAAATCTCTCTACTATAGGGGCCTAAACAATGACCTATACTATTGTGGGGTTTCCTTACTATAATTATAGTATAATGTACCCTCAAAGCCCTATTCTAGTTATGAAGGCCCCTATATTACCTCATGGCAGAGATCAACAACTTGGGCCATAGGATGAAAACAAGAGCAGTATCTATGTTATGGCTCTACGGGCTCTATGGGAAAAGGTTTGGGGTTTGCGGTTTCAAGAACAGAACCTGCAGTTGCGACGGGCTGAGCAGATGAGAATAGATTCGACTTGTTCATTCTAGCAGGGTCAGGTATATTTGAAAGGTGCGCAAACATGAAACGTTGATGCTGGCTCTGCTAGTTTGGGAAATTACCGCACAGGGAAAATTCAGACAACAGACCCTATACACCTTCCAGATTCTATCTATATAGCTCGGGCAGTCTTCATCCAACCCCGAAACGCATCCCACTGCATCTTTGAACAATGCTTGGCCGATTGTACTATTGATCAAGAAGCAGCACAAGGGTAAGCCTTAGAAAACTCGTTTAAGACCCTGAACCCCAAAAGCCCTAAACCTTATCCCCGAAACCCTATAAAACCTTAACCCTATAAACCCTAAGCCCTAAAAGAATGAACCCTGATTCAACTTTCAACCCGCCTAAGTAATGCTGGAGACGAAGAAAACAGGCCCTTGAGACGCGCTCGAAACGATAAAAGTGTGTAAAGCCGAAATCACGAGAACTGTCTAAGTTCATCCATCTCCGCAGCAGCGAAGCCAAAGCAAACGACCTCCAACAAAGAAATTGTGTTTGTTTCTCGGGTTGGTGTTTAGGGAGGTGATAATGTAGGCCATCGTATTGGGGCACCACTTTCTCCTCTACTCGGAGGGCCAAGGTGTTGTTGCGCTCGGGGGCTTGGGGCTTTGAAAAAATATGTAAGGAAAAGAGTCTACTCAAAGGGCTGCTGGAAAGTGGGCAATGCCCGACATGGATTAATCGGACCTCGGTGCTTGAGATACATGTCATTTAATTCGCACTCCAGGAGCCACTGCGGACTACACCCCATGCCCGGCCCGTGCCCCTCTAAAGAACAGGTGCCTACGAGGGAACTTGACTGATCATAGCATGGAAGCGTGATTGGTTATCAGATCTCCCATATATGGCAACTGAAAGCACCTTCCGTTTTAAGGAGCCTGAAGAAACACAGCTAAACCCGAAGCCCCAAAGGTAGGGCTGGGCATAATATCTCTTTTTTGGCCCTGAATCAGCAGCCCTGCCACGCACTTCCCGACATTGGTCCAGGCCCAAGCACATATTCGCAACAACGTTCGAATATAGTTCCCACAATATTGTCCCTAGTACCCAGCTTACAGAAATAGTCATGACAATGCGTTACCTTGCGGTCATAAGTGCTGTGGATTAGATAATAACTGATGGAGCAGGCATGGGCTAGCAGCCACACCGTCCGCCAAGCATGCTGAGCACACTAACGTCCAAAGCAGGCATGGACGTGAAATCGCGCTGTTCGCCAAGCAGACTGAGCTCATCAAAGTCCACAACATCCACAACATCCAAGGAACGGGTGCGGAAGCTGGAGAAGTGCGCGTCTCTGCCCTCGATGTCCCCAGCGGGCGACATGGGTCGCGGTGTCAACCGGGCTTTGCTGCCGGTGCCACAGCAAGAATGGGTTTCTGAGCAGGGTGTTTGCTTTTGTAGCAGGGCCAAGTTTCCTCCGAAGGCCCTGAAACCTTGCGAATGCCCTCAGACATGCGCTTGTGAAGCTGGTAGATACTTTCCGCCGTTTGCTCGAAAAGGGAAGACCTGTTCTTGCAGACAAGCCTTGGGCGCTCTCTACAGCTCAGAGGTCTACAACGCCTTGAACACAAGAGGTGGAGCGTTGTGGGAGCGGTTGCAGTCATCAACGACTGAGAGGAAGCCCAGCCGAAAGAACTGCCCAATCTGCATAATTTGCATAAAGGCAATTAACCCAATGGGACAAGGTGATGAACAACAGTTTCTGTGGCCTGGCTGTGAACATCCTTACCATTTCAAGTGCATAGCCCGTCAAAGAGCTTGCGATCCTCGTTCCGGTTGCAGCCGTTGCAGACATGCCTGGGATCCAGCTTTGGATTCCATAATCAGAGCAGGCCCAGGTTGCATTCAATGCCCGATTTGCAAGGAGGCAATTCACCCGACGGGACAAGGTGAAGAACAACAGTTTTTGTGGCCTGGCTGTGAACATCCTTACCATTTCAAGTGCATAGCCCGTCAAAGGGCTGACGATCCTGGTTCCGGTTGCAGCCTTTGCCGACGTGCTTGGGATCCAGCTCTGGATTCCATAATCAGAGCAGGCCCAGGTGGCATGCAATGCCCGATCTGCATGGAGGCAGTTAATCCAATGGAGCAGGGTGCGTCAGAACAGTTTTTGTGGCCTGGCTGTGAACATCCTTACCACTTGAAGTGCATAGCCCGTCAAAGAGCTCACGTTCCTCGCCACGGTTGCAGCCTTTGCCGGCATCCTTGGGATCCAGCTCTGGATCCGGGCTTGGCTGAGAAATGCAGCCAGCTTGGACTCGACGCTCGCCGAAATAGCTCCGTTTCCACACCTTGAGTATTTGCCGAGATGGCCAAAGGTTAGTGCCTTCCCACCAAGTTCTAATTACACTCAAAACCCAAAACCCTGCCCTACACCATTCCCCACCAATAGTAGAAAGAGATTGCTGTGGGCTTGAGAGGTTCTTGACCTATGCCAAACTCGGGGCTGTCTTAAATTGGAATAACCGCTGGCAGAAAACCTGCTTCGCGGTGGAGACTGCAATAACATCACATCTGCTGCCCGCGAAGATAAAGTCGCGTTAGAGTCTGAATCTAAATCGATGCCCCCATGTTTCTTTATAACAACCGACAATGCGAGCCGTCGAAATCTGACTGGAATTATAACGAGACTTCTGCAAACCCGGTCTCCGATTTTCGGATTGAGTACGGACCTTGATTGATTTCACCGGAGTTTCAGAACACAAGGAGCCCTACTATATTGAGATCTCTTTTTCAAGAACTACTACAAATAACCATGTACTATGATGGCAAGGAGCCTTAGAAACGTTTTAGCCTCAGCGCAAAAAGTGGTGATTTCGATTATAGGAGCCGACCGGAGCCACTGCACGACCATGGTGCTGAGGCAGGCAAATCATGACCAGAAACCCCAAAGTGCACAAGAAGAAGGACTGCCCCATGCGAAAGGCCTGTCCTTGGCAGCCTTTTCAGGGGTTCGCTGCGATTTCTTTTCCCATTCTGGGGTTTGTGGGATTTGGGGGTGAGGTATTACATACCAGGCATGGCAGGAGTCGAGAACTACTGTTGATGATACAAATCCTGCGTTACCTCAAGGACCCTAAACTATGGGAGTTATGGTATATTCCTTATTATGGGTAATGCAGGATTTATATCATCAACCGTATGTCTTCGCAACTGGGGGGTTTAGAGTTTGGGGTCAGTGGCCTGAGCCCCTTAGTAAACATCGTTGCTTCATTCTCAGAAGCGCTGTCCCCTCCCCCGAAAGGACGCCCTAAGGACGGTCTTTGCAATTGCCCCTCGTGTATGTCCCCCTCCCTCCCTCCCTCCCTCCCTCCCTGTGTTAGCACGGAGTCGCGGGTCGCAAGAAGCTTTCCGAGGCCCCGATCCTTGCGAAGAGGGTTCAGGATTTCCGGGTTGAGCGTTTCCATTCCTGGAGCTTTCTGTGCTGGCCTGGCTTTTCACAGTAGTTGATTTGCTTGCTTTTTCAGAGCATGGCCTAGACTGGTGGACCCGAAAAGCTATTCAGGAAGTGGGGTGGTCTGTTGCATCGAGATTACAGCTAGAGGGCCGGATAAACCCGGTTGAGGTAGTTGAAGTGTCTCCAGTGGGCCCCATCTTATCAGAGCCAGCAGAATGGTTGGTAACTTGTGGGAACTACATCAAACTCTCAAGCGCTAAATGAACCACAAGTGCGGTTGTCGACGTCGGCCTGAAAGCCCCCCCCCCCCCAAAACTACTATTTGCTTAAGAACCACCAAAAAATAAAAAATATATTCCTTATAGGGATAATATAGGGATTATCATTTTTTATTTTTTGGGGGGTTCTTAAGCAAATAGTAGCTACAAACCCTTCAAGCGGAAACACCAAGCCCCCCACCCCAAATGCCTAAACCAAAAACCCCAAACCACATACCCTAAACCCAAAAGTCCGACACAGAATTAAAACAAACAAAACCCTAAACCTAAACCCCAAACCCTATACCCTAAACCCCTAAAGCCATAAACCCTTTTCCCTAAACCCGATACCAAAAACCCCAAACCCCTAAACCCAATGCCTTTCGGCATTCAAAGCTCGCCTGAATAGGCTTTTGTTACACTTCGTGCGGATCCAAAAAGGAGCCCTTAAAAACCAAAACCTGAACCCGTAAAGGAACCCCTTAAAGGAACCCCTTAAAGGAACCCCTTAAAGGCACCCCTTAAAGGAACCCCTTAAAGGCACCCCTTAAAGGAACCCTTAAAGGCACCCTTAAAGGAACCCCTAAAAGGAACCCCTCAAAGGAACCCTTAAAGGAACCCCCGAGAGAGGTGAAGTGCCCGCATTGTAACTTCCAATGCGCAGCGCAGAACTTGGAGGCCCACGAGCGACACTTGTCAAGCATCGGGGGGGGGTTTGGCGTTTGGGGGGTTTAGGGTTTAGGGTTTAGGGTTTAGGGTTCCTTGAAGGGTTCCTTTAAGGGTTCCTTTAAGGGTTCCTCTAAGGGATCTTTAAGGGTTCCTTTAAGGGATCTATAGGGATTGTAGGGTTTAGGGATTAGTGGGGATTCCTTTAAAGGGTTCCTTTAAGGGATCCATACGGATTGTAGGGTTTAGGGATTCCTTTAAGGGTTCCTTTAAGGGATTTATAGGGATTGGATTCCTTTAAGGGTTCCTTTAAGGGTTCCTTTAAGGGATCTTTAGGGTTTAGAGTTTAGGGATTCCTTGAAGGGTTCCTTTTGAGGGATCTATCGGGTTTAGGGTTTAGGGATTGTAGGGTTTAGGGGTTGTTGGGTTCAGGGGTTGTAGGGTTTAGGGTTTAGAGAGTGTAGGGTTTATGGTTTGGGCTTGCGGTTTGGGGGAGAGTTTGAGGTTGGGAGTGTAGGCCTTAGTGTTTATTCCTGAAGATTCTTATCTCAACAAAGTACCCCAAAACCCTGTTCAAATACTTAAGGCCTGCGATATCCAGGTTCCTGTGCAGCACCTTTTTGCCATTTTTGTTTAAGGGTCTCCTCATAAGACCGAATTGTCCCTAAACCCTCAACCCTAAACCCTGAACCCTCAACCCTAAACCCTGATGAAGGATTTGGAGTTTAGAGGTGTGGAGTTTGGGCTTGACCTTTCCGGGAAGCAGTATCGCGGAGGCCCAGAAGGATTGCGTCGGCACCTAAACCCTGACCTGAAGCCTTGTTTCTGTTTCTTCTGACGTTGTGTCGGAAAGCCCTAGACCCTAAACCCCTAAACCCTAAACCCTCAAGGGTAGTGATATCTAACCTAGTTTTCGGAGTACAGGCTGCAGGGAGAATGCTCAAGACGGTACTTCTATAACCTCCTGGTTGACTGCCGAATCTGTACGTGGTCGCCGATTTCTACTTACCTAGCCTTCTTCTGAGAAAAAGCATCCATGCAAGTTCCCAAGGTGACGACTGCGAGAACGTGGATTCCCAGCTGCACGCGAAGCACCCTCTCCTCCTGCACAGTCACAAACACATAAAGTGTCAAGGGAGTCGGGTTCTTTTGCTCGGGTTATTAGCCCCTTAAGTAGGGTCATCCTACTAGTAGGTATAAGTTGCTTACAACCTACTTACTATGTCCTCTAAGCCTTTAGGCCTCAAACTCGAAGCATCTCGAAATTCGAAGCTGCACTCCAAGTTGAGGGGTCACGGCCTTCGCCAGAAATCAGAGTCCGCACATACGCAGGTTGTGGGGCTGGTTGACCCTGATACTCTTGTTAAGAAGAAGACGGAAGCAGCATATGAGATCTTGGGTGTGCTGGGTGGCATAGGGAGCATGAAGCGTTGTAATGCCAGCGTTCTGCTAACATCCATCGCAACAATGCTGGGCTGCACTCTCAAAGCCTACTCTAAGCCTTGTATGGAAGGTTGACGCGGAAGGAGCATGCACGAGGCAAGGTAATATGGAATAGTTGCCAGTAGTATCCCCTCATACTACCGCAGGACGAAAGTTCGCCATACAACATGAAGTTGAGAGATCACCACATGTTCACCCCTTTTCCCCCGTAGAATCCTAGCACAACCCCGCAAAGTTCTCCGCCGGAAACTATATAATAGTACAAATTTATTCCCGGAAAGTAATTACTCCGCCACGCTGGCCGCGTAAAATGGGTCTTGGGGCTCTCCGCCTCTCCGCGGTATACATCTATGTTATAAGCTGCATGTCGAAACTTTCGGCCCGGTGGTGTAGTCCCTGTAGGAATCCACTGCAATATCCCTTTTCGTTCTACCCTGCTTGTTTGTTACGGCACTGACAGTCTCAAACCATACAGAACTATTGTGAACCCCTTATATCCCTATTAATAACACAAGTGTGTAGTTATTGAGGCTCCTAAACCCCGAACCGTAAACCCTGAACCCGAGACCCTAAACCCTAAACCCTGACACCCAAACCCTGAACCCTGAACCCTAAACCCCTAAACCCAAAAGCCTACCCTAAGCCGTGTGTTACGAAGATCGAGGCTCAGCTCAACAGTAATAAGGGGAATATTACTTGGTTGTGCTTTGGGATAATTTTTAATTTCCCTTATTTCCTTATAAAAGAACCTATTCATAAATAACTTTCAAAGGGTTTAAGGCACAACCCAGATTAATGATAATGTAGATGATAGTAATAATAGTAATAATAAACATAATAATAGTGATAGTAATCAGAGTAATAGTAGTCATAAGAAACATTCTGCCGGGCCAGCGGCCCTCAAACCTTTGCAAAGCTGCAAGGTCAGAGTCAGAGTGTTTGGGGTTGGGGTTTAGGGTTAGGGTTTGAGTGGTTTCGGGCTATACGGTTTAGGGTTTAGGGTTTAGGGTTCAGGGTTGCCATGGCCACGCAAAAACTGTTTGTTAGGCCTCGCATCACTATCAGAATTTTCACCATCATACTCCACACAGGCTCAATTCATAGCTGGACGCCATGGGTTGGGCCAGTCGGGGTAGGTATGCTGACAGACCGACTATGTCAGGACAAGTGTGATTGTGAACGCAAGCATTACGTAGGCTTGGACGCGATAGCCTTGCCGCACTAAGGAGGAGGAATGTGAGTGCTGCCACGAGATGGCAGCTGGGCAAAACCCTAAAAACAGCCCAAAACCGTGTGACTTTCGTGGGCAACAGCGAGACAAATTATTATTAATTCAGGTTTGTCTGCACATGCAGGATCCGTCCGTGGTTCTTATAGAGCATGAAGAAGTGCAACTCCTGTTCCTTAGCGTTCCCATTTTAATTTTATAAGCTATAGGGTATGTTACGAAGTTACCCCAAAATCCTACTCTACGCATCAAGGCCTGTACCTATATTCCTTTTTAGCTAAGTCTTCGGCTTGGAGCGAACATCG